TCTGTTCATCCCCCAGCCTGGAGTGATACCAGGGGTTGGTTGCTCCAGTCCAGGTGCAGCACCAGCACTTGGGTCTTGTTGAACCTCATGAGATTCCCATGCGCCCACTTTTTGAGCTTGTCCAGGTCCCTCTGAATGGTATCTCTCCTTCACAAAGTTTCAGCATGTTTAGTGCTTGGTGATGCACAGTGTGTACTAATGCTGAAAATTTAGCAAGAGATACCCAAGGCTCAATCACAGTTTATCCACTGATTTCTCAGAAACGTAATAACAGAAGTCTGATTATATTGCTAATAAGCTCTTAATTTTTCTGAATCTGGGATCAAAACTGAGTACAAACCACTGCAACCATTCTGAACTTATACCTTCATTACAAAGGATTACTAGAGAAAGTGAATGATCCCCCATGAATCCACACCAGAGCATTCTTATCTTCCTCTGAAGCAACTGCTACTGGTCACAGAGCATTGCAGTGCCCAGGGCTCAATTCAAAACTTGTGTGCACTCACACTACACTGCTTTTCTCTCCACTTTGTCTTATCTGCTATACTTGTGTAGTTAATGGAAAATATTTCATTTGCATCTAAAAGTATTTAATTAATCATACACACTACAATTTATGATCCTTGAAAAAAAAAAATCACATGTTTTCATATGGATAAATTGCATCTTCAAGGAATGGAAATTAGTGTTTTAAAATATTAATTAAAACTTAAATTAAATTTCTTAAGCTTAATTTTTATGCATTACCAGCAGAGAAACAATGTCTCTAGAATTATAAACAACATCATAACAAATTTACTCAGAGTTGATAGGAACATAAATCTTTCTTCTAATTAAGCATTTTTCACAAATAAAAGACAACTAAAGATGAAACAGATACAGCTCCTTCACTTGAATTTTGTCAGATCAAGCTAAATACAGGTCACTGTTACCTGATTAACGGCTTCAGCAAAATGACTTCTCAAGTTTCAATCTCTGACATGAGAAGAGGAAATGGGAAAAAGCTGAAAATCAGTGGACATGGACATTCCCATTGAGACCATTCTTAACTAGCACAAAGAAACATCATGGAAATAATAACAGGGAGAAGAGGAATAGAGCAGCAATGGAGTCTTGACAGCCACCCCAAGTTCTCAGAACATCAATGCAGACATTACTAAGGTTGCTGAGACACAAGTTTGCACATGCCATATAGGTAGGAAGAAAGGAAAATGTATTCTGCACATCCCACACAAATACCACCAATTAATTTGTCAATTTTTCAAAGCTAAATTTTAGAAAAGAAAAAAACATGAGAAGTGCCCAAAGTTACAATTTTAAATCCTTAATAGACATCCCTTCCAATTTTCAAAAACATTTAGCCCTCAGCAGCTCTCTATACCCAAAGATCATGAAAAAAACATAATATAACAATATGAGGAGGAAGGCTAAATGAGATTACCTTCTCTAAATGACAAAGCTATTTGCATTTAAGTGGCATGCAAGTAGTAATTACATTTTGCATTTGCATAATAATGAAACAATCCTTTTAAGAAAAGGTGTGTCTTGTAGAAGCTTCACAATGAATAACTTCGCATCTTAAAGTAAGCCTTGCTTTACTTACAGAAGCTTTGCTAGTGCCACTGTAACTTCCTGGGGCAAACCCTAACTCATTTCTGTAACCTGTGCCTTGTAACGGCTCACTGAGCTGAACAGCTAAGTACACACACACAAAAACACACATAACCTGTTAGCTGACATTTTAGACTTGTTAGACACTACTGAGTTATTACAGACTATATAATATTTATTATCTGAAAAGAAATGGATTTCCCATCTAAGATGAATAAAGATAAATTTTGATACCAACATTCTAAACTATGTCTTTCTTCCCACTCCAACATTTTTTAATATATAAAAAGTCGGTATTTTGACCCATATTTTTCATGCACCAGTTAACTAGAAAATTACAGAACCTGAAGAGCTCAGATAAAATTCATCAAGGGGATTAAAACAAGGCATTCCTCCTCCTCCTCCTCCATAGCGTGGGATGCTACTGGAATGTGAATTAAAGCCTCTCAAGCCTTTGAAAAATGAGGACCCCTGAATTTTTAATTTTGTTAACTAATCATTAGAGAACTGGAAATCACTGTGTTTCTGAGTGTTTGATAGGTAGCTGCTTCCATAAAGTACATTTTTAATTTTGTAAGAGCTGGCCTGTTTCCCAGCACATTGATTTGTGGGACCACTACTTACAGCACCTAGAGCATAATTAAATATTAAGTCCCTCCTTGATGTATGCAAAGTCTGTCTAAGAGGATTAGTAGTCACACTGAGGGTGGCTTTCACACGTTTTCTGGTAATTGAACACTGCAATATCATTAAAATTATCTTTATTAAATATAAATCCACAACCATACTTTATAATATCTGCTGTCCCTTTATGTGCCAAGGAATGGTATAGGAAAAGAGGGATCCCCTAAAAGCATGTAAGAAATGCCAAGCAAGTAATAATACAACAATCTGGAGGCAAGATAATGAATACATTTTTTTCCCTATTTGCAATTTAAAGTTTGTTCAAAAATCCTGAAAACAAACAACCATTAAACACATCCCTGTAAAATCTAAAACCAGCATTTAATCCATAGCCCCTTCCCCCCACACTTATTTTAAATGTGTTTTGTTTTTTTTTTTTTCAATTATTTTGCTGGATGAGAAAGGATGACCAGATTAATAAACATCTAGTGATACTAGAGAAAGTGATGTCTACAGACAAGGTGGGCAGACTGACATAATTTGAAAGATGTGATTCCTCCCGTCTACTTCATCCACGTTTACTCAGCAATCTGATTAAACTTTTAAGCTGTCCTTCAATACTCCTTTCTGTAAAACAGGGTTGCTTTTAAAGGTCTTTGCCCCTGAAGTGTGAACTTGCACAAGAAAACTGCAACTTAACTACAATGCTCTGCCAAAGCTCATATAGAAATCTCACCCTGCTTTTCAGCAGTCATGTAAGAACTGACTTCTGCAGGGTTCTTGTTCCACTAACACACCTGAAGGACTGGGGAACGTCTAGTTTTCAATCTGCTATTTTATGATGATATTATTCTTGTCTGTTAATTCACAAAATATGCAAACTTAAGATTTCAAACAAGGCTATCACTTGCTTTTCTAGTATCAGTTTGCAGACTAGCTATTTGACATCAGCTGACTAAAAGAGAAAAAAAATGCAAAATAAATAGTCTGCTTACTTAAGACCACTTATTTGTTTTCCTGGACATTTGAATTTCAGTGCCAGGAATCTAAAGGACAAACCAACATGACTCTTGTGTCTAAACAACACATCAGTTACCTAGCACAAAATATTTGAAGAAAAGAGAGGGTTCTTATCAACCACACTGAGCTTGAGCTGACATGAAAATGAGAATAGTTTTTAATATATTCCAACAGGATTCTTACAACTGCACTCTGTAGCAGAAATTGGGGTGCATAAACAATGATTTTTATATATGTACATTTAAACACTGCTTTCACTTTTTACTGTTAAGCCTGAAAGCTATTTCTACACTTAGCCAAATAATAAATAGTATACACAGAGAAATGAGTATTTCAGTGTTGTGTACATATTTTTCATAGTTATTTCTGAAAGGTTTGATCTTATCTAGTGAATTATTCAAGCTTTTTTACATGTCCTGTACTACTTGCTTACTCATCAGCAAAAGTGTAAAGCACTGAAGTGATCAGCAACCTGTTATGAGCCGATGAACTGTTGCTCAGTCAGTACAAACTTCCCTCAAAAAAGAAAACCACATTTTCCAGCTGGAAATTAGGAGAATTCTAAAAATCCCTTCAGGAAACAGGAAGTAACTGATTATATGGAACATGAAATGCATTCAAGTAAGTCCTAAAATTTGGTTCCGTGACTAAACGGATGGGTTTTTCCTTTTGCAAAGTTGTATACAGTCTGACTTACAAGATTATGGGAGAAAATAAATTTTGATAAATATTTAAGGTAAAATCACAAGTGTAATGAGTCTCATAAGGCTTCTGTCAAATACAGCTTATTTTTCTGTCTTCTACAAACATGGCTGAAAGCTATTATCTACCTCTAGCTTTTTTCTTAAGACATACTCTAGTTGAATGTTTTATAATTGGAACTGATTTTGGATTGGAAAGCAGGTCACAGGCAACACAAATGCTGACAAAGGACTGAACTGAAGATGAAGAATTCAATGACAGACACCTGAACAGTAGTTGAGGAGTTAAATGCTGGTATTACTGTAAATAGGAAAGAAAAAATCATTTCCAAAGAAACTAAGAGATAAGTACTTTCTTTTCCTTTTAAGATTTTTATTAGGATTGTTCCCTTGGATGAATCTAGCACAGCAAGTCAAAACTCAGATATTGCTTTTGTTTTATATGAATATAAAGTGGGTTTGTTCATAGATTTTTTTGGGAACTATTAGAAATATTCTATTTTTGTTCTGTAAGATCTTGGCATGGGGGGAGGCACTTAGAAAATGAACAAAAAGTAACTGCTTCTGAAGAATTCTACATGCAGCAAGAGCTATTCACATGATTTCAAAACTGCTACATATTCATGCAGTAAGATTTAAAGGCATAAGAAAAAAAGACAGTGGCCAGCAATTATCATTCTAATTCTGAATAAAATGTGACACCAAGTGGAAGATAAAGAGGGAAGGAAAATTGACAGAAAAAAAATGGTCAGAAAAGAAAGTTACAAAAACATCAATGTTTAACATGGAAGAAAATCACTAGTGTTCAATCAAGTTCAGTATTATGTACTCCTGATCCTAAACAAACATCAGAGAAGTCCCTTACCTTTATATAACTTTGTTTTTCAAAGAATCAGAATGTATCAGAAACTTGATTTAAAAAGGACAGTAGGATTAGTTTCCAGACAGCAGGATGCATCACAACTATATACAGTGATTCATTATGTAATTCTCACATAAAAGGAGTCTAATGCTGTAATTTGCAGCAATCAGTGTTAATACCTTTGTTTCAGGCCAGCAAGCTCTGAGAACAGCATGTGTCCTGAAGTACACAAGTAGCTTGCTATCCTCATCACTGAGATGGAAGGCTTGCTCCAGAATTTGCAATACCCTGATGCGAGGCTTCACTGCAAGGGAGTCGTCACCACAGAAAGGTCTCAACCACTCCAGGAGGTCATCTGAAGAAACTATTTTCTCCCTGTAATGAAACAATACTGTTAAATTGTTTCAGGTAATAATCCTAATGAAAATACTACATGCATTTTTAAAACTTAACAGGCACATTCAATATGTAAGAAATATGAAACACCAGGAAATGGAAGATCAAACCATGTCAGGCTGCAGAGAAACCAGTCCTTGTAAATCAGGAGCTGAAGGTGTAAGAACTTTTTCTGGACTTCAAATGACCATGTAATACCATAGGAATCCACCTGTACACTTCCATATTCTTCCACAAACTACCCTGGTACCATACAATGGTGCTGGGTTTCAGCATCTGGAAATCCAAGTCTTTTCATGGTGCCTGGGCCTCACTGATTCCTGTACTACCATACCATCTGACATCATGGAAAACCAGCTTGAATACTTGCATTTTTAGTATGACATTTTTATCTCTGAATGCTTATTCACACTGTCACCCTGCACTCTTTTTCTTCCCTTACAAGCCCTTTCTTTCCATTCCACACACACAAATTTATTTTCTCCCAGTTGCAGCTCTAGCCCTATGTCCTTTTTTTCTATACCATCTCTAACCAGCTTTATCATTCTAAGTTCTTAGCATGATAATGATTGCAAAATGCCCAAAATCCTTAGAAAGAAAAAAAGAGAACTGTTAAAACCGCTAAACTTTGGGGTCAGCTTTGTTAATTATATAAACTCTTTAAGTATATAATTTGATTCAGAAAGTGAAACTATATCAAGTGCATTCTAACTGTGTGGAAGCATTCACAGTTCACAGAGCACCATGAACTGACCAACCAGTTCACAACTGGAGACAGAATAATCTGTGATGTCCCTTGGAGGCTATAGACTAACAGGTACCGAATCAGTAAATGCTGTTTTAACTTTCAGTAATATCTAAAACTCAAGCAAACTTTTTTATTAAAAAAGAAGGCAAGCAAGTGACTCCTGGTAGAGTGTGATTTGTAACTAATGTTTCCTTATTTGTCTTAACAAGACAGATGGGAAAGTAATACGAGACAGAAAATACCAAGTTAACCTGTCTTGCAGCTATGAAATAATAAACATTGACATCTGAGGTTTTCATATTACAAGGATTTCAATTTTACTTAGGCGTTATATTGTCTGAATGATGCTGTTAGCTCAGAACTCCAGCTGAATTAGACATGCCTTTGCTGAACAGGTGGCATTCAAACTGTAAATTGGAAGTCTGGGAACTAAAGGAACTTGCTGGAATATTTGAAGAGTTTGTAGAGCTTGCACCTGATGTACATATATGTTTTCCTGAGGAAAATATTTCTGTTTTGTAAATTGATTAGCTGAGTTTTAAGGTAATAAGTATTTCAAGGAATATAAACAATCTCTAGCAATCATAGTTACGTTCACTCCAGCTTATTGTTTCAGCAGTTAAATGCTGATGAAGTATACAAATAAAAGACTCCAGAAACTGCATCTCAGAACAGGCATTGACTCATCCATTATATCTTAGAATACTGCACACTATATTTAGTGCAAATTTTTACATCAATCTACTTCAGTATCCAACATTCAATTAATTTAATTTCATTGAAGAAGTCTCAAAAAATAGTATAACTGTTTTTGTGTGGCTACCAGAAAGTATAAGATTTTATTATCATTATTATACATAAATTCTTTGTTTGTACATCTAGGGAAGAAAATGAGCTCTTTGTTTTCTTTGTTTGTTTGTTTGTTTGTTTCTTCCTTGTCTTTACAGGGAGTGAAATGCAAAATGTCAGTGAGACATACAGGCCATATATGATTGGAAGTAAGGATATTCCCAAAAGAGGAGAAACAATGTGGTAAAGCATCGTACAGCATTTGGAAAATTGTTTCTGCACTATACCTTATAAATATGGACAAACTTAGATATCTAAATTCAGAAATCTGAAAGTGAATCACTATTATTTGCAATTTATCAACTAAATTGAAAATAAAACAGTGACACGTTTCTGTTAGATACACAATCTGCATTAGTCACAAATGAAAAGCTGTTTTCTCATTTCACTATAATACAAAGTTATCTAAATTTTAGGTTCAGTGCTTTCTTACACATGACCAAGTAAAGGTTTCTTTCAGGATTCAGATTTTGAATATGAAAAATGATAGCCCATTCCAGAATAAAGTCTTAGAAAATTAAGTGCATACCCATTATATATATCCACGAAGAAAAATCATCCATATTCAGTACTGCACCTTCAAAGCTTTCATGAGAAGCATCTTTCAAAGTCTTACCCAAAGAATCCATAGAGGAAGCTCTTACCCTTTTTCAACGCTTGCATGCACTGCAGAAATTATACCTTCAAGGACTCCAAGTGGATCTTTCTCTGTTGTAGATGAGTCACCATTTCCACTGTTAAGGGAAGACAAAGTTATCATTAAAATTGTCTTTAATATTTTATCTCATATACCTGTATGATTTAAATCAGTTGTTCAGTAAGAATTTTCCAGTTTTGCTTCTTAACTAGTACCTTTATTTTTATGTCAGAGTAATGCAAAAAGCAACAAGAAAGAGTGGGGAAAAAATACTAAACTTTTAAATGAAGCTTGAAAGAAAAAGTATAGTTAAAGTTTAATGCTTCTAACACAGATTAGTTAGGCTAGCAGAATATTCACTTGTAATCTAGCTACCTTAAAGATCAATATGAACTAAACAGACCTCAAGTTATACATAAATGTCACTATCTTTTCTGTCTGAATCTTTTTGCAGTATCACTGTTGGCTTAAATGAGCTCAAATGTAACCTGAGTCAGTAGCATCCTATCTGCTGATTTCTCTGGGGTCAAGCCATCATGGAACAGCAGCCTCTGTGCATGTATGGAATAGAAAAATGTCCATCACTCCTACCAGATGTTTCAATTAAAAATACAGTTTTCTTCTGGAGGTTAAAAGGTTGTAAAAAATGGGTCAAGCAAACAAACAAACAAACAACCAGCCCAAAGCCCCTTTGTAGGAAAGTACACTTTCAGCTAAGATTTCCATTAAACAGACTCAGTGCTGAGAGAGGGAGAGATTTTGCCCTGGTGCTCCAACAAAATACACAGTGTCTCCCCATGGAAACCACTGCTGCAGAAATGATGCCTGGATGAACTGGAAAGACAGCTTTGCCTGTCTTAAGTTTGTCAAAGCTGCATTAAAGAAAGTGAAAAAAAGGCAAATAGTTATCAAGTTATCTGACTGCAGATGATTCAAAAAAACCCAGAGAAAAAGTGCATTTTCCCTACAGTTCATCATCATATCAAAGCTCTTCTGCTACTAAAAATGTCAGCCTCTTCCTAGATCTGCTCTTACCAATAACAAACACATGCCCAGACTACTTTGATTGTTCTAAAGCAAAAGTACTACACAGCTGATAGTAACATGCAAAAATTACCGTGATATTGCAAAATATTTTTTGTAAAGAGAGAATATTTACAATTTTGTCATTTACTGCATCAGTAAGGTATGTTTTCTATAAATTATACATATCCTATATATAATATATATATATATTAGAGACCTTAATCTTTATAATCTTAAATGCCTTCTTGCATTCAGAATTTTCATTGTTCATATTTTTATCTTAGTAAGTGGCCAGCACTCCAGTGAACAACAGTGGATTAAAAATCAATAGGACTCTATTCAGAACAGATGCAAGATGATTGTTGCATAATGAAAATTTAGCATACTCAATTTATATTATTATATTGTATTCCTAAAGTTTGAAATAGGAGTAGAAGACTGTTGACACTAATCTTTTTCTCAAAAGATACTGTACATATGACTGACAGAAAAGCTGTTCTTAGTACCAGTATTAGCATATGGTAACTAAATAACTTTAAGAGTGAAGCTTAAATCTAGATATTTTTCTAAACATCTTCAGAATACTTGGAAACAATCAAATTATAATTTATAGTACAGAATAGAAATATTCAGGGTTTTAAATTCTCAGAGACATGGTATGTCAAAAGATAAAATCCACTTTTACCAAAACAAAACAAAAAAATTCATTCTCAGAAGAAAAAAAAAAAGGAAAGTGTATTTTCTCAGAAAGGAGACATGAAGGAACTGAACACTCTGTTTAGGAAAAAGAAAAAAAACAAAACACACCATATGGCAGAAGCGTGGCAATGGTAAAAAAGCAGACCAGTACTCAAATGATCATTTTATGCAACTGGCTATGGCTATGTGCATTAGGAGATGGTTGCAATTTCCTTTAAAAACAAAAAGCTAAAAAAAATTTATTTATGTCCCTGGAGTGAAGACAGATACAAGGCACTTCATTAATGCTCTTTTTATAAGCCACTTTGCTAGTGATTTGTTTACAGGCCAGATTTAAACTTTCCATATTTTTTTTGTGCCTTTTTTTCAATTAAGTTTGTAATGAAAACACATCTACAAAGGGCATTAACAAGGTATATCAAGAGATAACTGGAATACTTATAAAACTCGCATGCTAAGAGGAGAATGAGTATTTAAACAGAAACAAAGAGGACGTTTGCTGCCCATCAGTACTTCAAGGGGGATTATAACAAAAATGGTGACAGGAATTTTTTACACTGAGATACTGCAAGAGATTGCCAGAAGATGTGGTGGATGTCCCTTTGCTGGAAATATTCATGGACAGACTGGACAGGCTCTGAGTACCCCGATCTAGGTGAAGATGCTCCTGCTCATTGTAGGGGGCATTGCCCAAGATAATAAAAGTTCCTTCCAATCCAAAGTATTATATGATTGTACAGTATACAGAAAGTGAGTTCTTACTGCTCTACTTGCACTTACTTATGTTTAGTGTACATGAACAACTATCATATCAAAGGACACCCCAATTCAGAGATCAGTTCCGGATAGTCCTAGTCCTTTCTCTTCAAAAACCCTTCACCTCTCTAATCAGAAATGAAAGTTATTAGCTCCAAGCAGGCTCTGAGCTCCTCAAAAAAACCCTAAAACAAGACAAAAATGCCCCAAACAAACAAACCCAACCCAAAAGGGGTCAAAAGAAATGTATCTGCAGAAGTCAATGGGCATTTCTGCAAACAAAAATATCACTGTTTCTGGCAATACATCTGCAAAGCCTATTTTCAAGAACAACAGATGTATGAACATTTACAGGAAGCTTCAAGTTTGTCAGACACAGATAAATGTCTTTTACTACGCTCAAGGAAAGGAGAAAGAAGGTTAATCTAAACAGTAAGCTACAGTTATCTAGAATAAGGAAATATTTTTTAAAATCTAGTAAGATTGAAAGCTAGCAATTTGTTAAGCTTAGTACTGCCTTTACTGCCTAGTGGTTAGAAGAACAAAAAAGAGATGACAGCTCATGAGATAAATAATCCTGTCAAGTTTCCACAGATTGCTGCCTTGTTCTTTTCTTAATAATTAATGATTAAAAATAAGCAGCTACTAACAGAAACAAATATAATTAATGAAGGATTAGTCTTCCACACAGATTATATGCTATTTTATCAATGTTTTAAACAAGAGAACATGATTCAGTGCTCACCTCAAAACTCCTAGGTATGAGCTTGGTGTAATTACACAGATAAAGGCTTATTTTGATTCCAGTTCAGTGTCAGAAAAAGTGATGTATATTTAATCACATTCCGCAAACAGAATAAAGCACAAAGAACGCTTGGAAGAATGAATTAACTTAATCTAAATTTTTTAACCTAATTACTGTATTCATTGAAAATACTCCAGCTTTATTTTCCTCTTTCTGATTGTGCTTTGTCATATTTAAATATGAGGAAAATAAGGAAATAACATACTGATGGGTGTGATCATTCAAAGCTGGGGAAAAATGTTTTAATGGCAAACCATCATTGCCATCCAAAATACCATAAAATCATTATATACAAGTTACAAAATTACTCTGTATGACCCCTGCTCAAATAAGGTAATAAAAAATCTGACTTTTTCTTCCTGTTAATGTAGCTATTCTTTCTAACAAAGCTGGATTTCAGAGAACACTGGGCATTAAGTAAGGAACTCAAAAATTCACCAAAGCTTTCCTGCTCACTGCCTAATGAATGCTTTCAAAATTCCATGAACCACTCTATCTCTGTGGACATCCAAGAGAAGAACTCTAGGAGCAGCAAGTGAAGGGGACCATAAAGTCTTCAACAAAGTGTCTTTCCTGACTGACCAACCACAGACATGCCTGCAGTCATGGATCATGGAACATTTCCCATCCATCATGCGAGTGATCTTCAGCAAGGAATTAAACTGAGTCTTAGGTAAGGCTAATCCGGCAACCATTGTTGCTAAAATATTAATAATATTAATAGTATTAATAACTTTTGCTTTCCACAAGTTCATAGCTTCTACTGAAGAAAGAGGCAACTGATTTTTATTTATAATCGCTGTTTCTACATGCGAACAATGAAGTACACAATACATAAGTCATGTAAAGTATGAAAATATGCTCTGCTAGAGAGCTTTTACAGATACCAGTGCAAGAGTTTATATTTTGAATTTTGGGTGCCAGAACTAGAAAGTTGAGACAAAAGTAATTAAAAGAACTGGAGGCCAATACTGCTCTTAAAACTGTAATTTAATGATTTACAGATTATAAATCACAGAATCTTGAATTCGGTAAATAGCTATGTTCTATTTAACAAAAAATCTGTTTCTGAGAAGGTATCAAATTTGTTAAGCGTGTCATATCATACACTGCTATAAAATGAAGCCAAAAAGTAACTTAAGATTTCATGAAGACTTTACTTTCTAAAAGGTTCTTCTGCAAGAATGACTATATATGCTAATAACAAAAGATATTTTACAGTGTTTGAAGGATGGTTGTAGTTAATGCAACTGAAAGAAAGGATGTGTATTTTCAGTCATAGAAGTGGTGGACTGTTGCTTAATTTTCAGGCAGATCACTGACAGTACCATAATTTTTTGTATCCATACAGTCCTCTTTCACTTGTGTTTGCAATACCTTAATTATATTCCTTGTCACCACAGCTAGAGAAAATCCAAGTTCACTGTTACAGCCTTACAACTGCTACTTTGAAGGTTAATTGTCAAAGAAGGAATTTTCCAACACAATCTCTTTCAAAACTAATGTATAAAATAACCACTGTGTAACATATGTTGCATTTATTGAGTAAAAGTCTGCTTTTCCAAGCTACACTGGCAAGACTACCTCTTTAATTGCAGAAATGCAAGTATTGAACGAAATGTTGTAATTTGTGTAGTATCTTGAAAGTGAACATCTGAGAATAGGACAGAGATGAATCCAATTTTACTCACAGAAACAACATGAATACCAGCAGGCTTAAGAGATACCAAGCAACAATATTTCTTTTAATTTCTCCCTGTATTTAAATTATATTTATTGCTTTCTAATATTAACTCTTTCTGAACTGCATCATAGGGAGGATATTAAGTATTTTTCTATTTTATGCTAGGTTTTCACTTCATGCTCTTTATCATTGTAGTAGACAAACTTTCCATAGTTCATAATGATATGAAATTATCCTTCCCTTCACAAAAAAACAGCTGAGTAGGAGTGGAATATTTCTACGGACCACATTAGGTCACATCACACACCAAACAAGTTTAATTGAAACTTCAAACTCATCTGCCCATCTTGGCCACTACAGTTTTCTCGATGAGACAGTCATTCCCCTCTTTCCAGTGAAGGGCTGCATAGGAGTTACTTGGGATGATCACTGTCCCCGAACATTAAATCAACTTACAGTCATTCCAGCCTTGCAATGCATATAAAGAACAAGTAATTCAGTTCACAGAAAAGTGTTGATAAGAAGCAGAGTAGAAAGGAGAATTTTGATAGGTTTCTCATACTCTGCATGTTAATGAGACTCATTATAGTCAAAATAACTGGACTTTGTGAGCTTTGTATCCAGATACATCACATTGCTAGTCAGGAACAGCAGGACAGTTATTACCTAAAGATAAATTATTCTTCAAATGGACAAACCCAGAGAAGAAAGACTGTATTACTTATGTTGCTGTGCAAAAGCTCTATCATCATTGAGGATGCTGTGAACACTCTTAAACTGAGTGACAGGAGAAATCAATTTTCTGCCAAAGAGGACTGCAAACAATTTGACAGGCTGCCTTCTTTTCATCTGTGGCACTTCAATCTGCTGTAATATATACATGCTGAAGAAAAAGTAGAGACATAGAAAATTTTCCATGCTAGACTCGTTTTCCAATTCCTGGTGTGTGCATTCAGATCATCCTGCCCATATAATTTTTCTGCATGCAGAACAACAGGATAAATTCTCAAAGTTTTATCTCTGTAAACTGGTCTTAGAAGTGCTAAACACTGTTTACCAGACATCTAACAGCAGAATTCTCTTTCATACTTGTTGCATGTATCTCTTTAAAACAGAAATACTTCAGAAGAGAGTTTTGTATGAATAGTTAAATGAGAAGGAACTGTTCAATTTATAATGGATGATATAAAATTATCTTCGCCTGCTTCTCTGCACTCCCTTAAAAAAATGAGGGGGAATAAAATATTTCTAATGAACCAAACCAACCAGCACAAAAAACCCCCAGCTCCCAGAAAAGGCTCAGAAAGGCTTTCCAAAGATGGAAATTGTACAACTTCTGGTAGGACACACTGTTGTGCAGAAGCACTAAGCCTCTGCTGCCCAAATGCCTGCATGAGTTACCATTTCCAATAAACATGCCTTTTAACTCTGTTTAAGACGGAAGAATTATGTGCAGTTGTAAATGTTACAAAAATTCACAAGGGCACATACACATAATGGAACAATGCTGTAAAGCCAATGCTTTTAACTAAAAAGCACCAGTGCTTTTTAACACTGGTTAAAAACAAAACACTGTTCTTAAAACTTTAAGAACAGGATAAGCTCTTATTTTGTTCAAATTGTTCAGACTTCCCCAACTTGTAAAAATATAACTAAATGTGAAATTATCGGTAAACAGAAACATAATCAAAGAACTCTCACATTACTGCAAAATCCAGGCATTAAAAGCAAACAAGTATTCACTGCAAATAACAGAACAAACCAACCAACCAAAAACCATAACAAACTAACACACCAACTCAACCATCCATAAAAAAAACCTTCAAAAATCCTGAAGAAATATTTTTGTGCTTAACTGAGGAAGTGTGCTTACCTTAATATACCTACAATTTTTTTAATAGCACATTGGACAATATCCTGGGGAGAAAGGCCCAGATCTCCAACAGCCACCTGTAACAACTGCTGCACCATGTCCAGGGGCTGACCATCTATACACATAGTTACTGCTTGCTCATGGATTTTTTCCTTCTCCGACCTTGACAGATCATAGAAATAGCCATACTTCTGTAGTGTATCCTGTGAACAGATAGTTTTTGGAAAGCTAATCAGTGTACTTATTTACAGGGCTGTATCAGTCTTCCTTTCTGTTAGGCATTAACATATACTGAGAAAAAGAAAAGATTGATGGAACTTTCAAATTTTCAAACCCCAGGTCAACAAAAGCAAAAGGTAGAAAACATTAATAAAATATGACAGAAGATTGATGTCTATTGCTACTAGTCATGGTAATACTCAAAGCAAGTCCTTGATCAGTAATCATTACCTGTTCGCTGCTTTTCAAGTAAGTGATAAAACTGTGAGTGAGTGTTTCCAGATGAGCAAGAGATTGTTGCAAATGATTCAGAGTTTCTTCATAAGCAGCAGATGGGTTTTCAGCATCTTTCACATCATGATCTGAAGTTTTTTTTCTTGATTTCTCCGAAAGATGTTTGACTGCCTTAATAGCTTTCTTAGTCACTTCTATCCTGATTTCAACAGGCAACTGAAAAAGATTGCTCAGTTATTTATTCATTCATTACCTGTACACTACTGTTTGTATTACAGCATTGCCAAGAGGTCAGCTGGCCCCACAACACAGCATAAAACTAAATGAAGTATTTAATAGGAAACAACTTTGTTTCTAACATGTCATTCATTAAAAAAGTGATCAACATTCCATTACTTTCTTCTGCTGTCCTTCTTTTTACTGATCTTTTTACTAACTCATGTTCATTTTAAACCATATGAAGTTCTTTTCCTAATAATATTTAATTTTTTCTAGACTGACACCTTATAATCTTTGATTTTTAACTCTTCATTGAGAGATATCTGAGAAACATTTTACAAAGGTGACTGATAGCTCACTTAAGGTTAGTTCTGCCATGTTTAAACTGCTACTTAAAATATATCTCTAAGACCATAACCATAAGCAAGAGCCCCAGAATGACTGAGAATTTTTAAATCAATCTATTTAAAGCCCAAGTTATAGAAAATAACAGTAACTATTCAGTACTTTAAAAGACCTGTACAACTAGCTGTATCTAGGCATTAAACTGAAACAAAGTCTAACCTTCCTGTTTCAGGAAAGACACAGCTTCAGCTCAAAGTCCAAAAGAAAGTCTATGATTTTAAAAAAGTCCAAAAGAAAGTATGATTTTAGACATTCATGTATGATTTGTTCATTTGTAACTGCAAGTACAGTTTTAACAGTGCTTGCAATATACTTTCTAATGGATGGGAATGTCCCCTGCCTGAACTCTAAACCCAAAGCATTAGGTACTTTTACCATCAGGTGTTTTAGTGATGGGAATACTGAACAAAGACATATGCAAATTTAACTTTCAAGTTGAAATACACAAGAAATGAAAAAAACCCCCTTGAATTTGCATGACACAGTGAATAAGAAATAAGAGGAATTATCACAGAAGAGGGCAAATAAACTGCTACAGCATTATTCATACAAAGTCCAAGAGATGTTTACATCATGAATTAAACTAGCTACTTGCAAAGCCATGAAAGGTAAGGATTTTTTAGTGGAAAGTTTTACAGTTTACATGCTTCCCCTGCCTCTCACCTAGATAAAAAGTCACAAGTTAAAGATCTAGAATTTACTCCTGTATTTTTGTGCTTTAGTGTGCTGTGTATGAGTGTGAACCACACTAATGGTCTAATGGATATTTTTTTATGGACGAAAGCAAAATAAATGCATTATTATTAGAGCTAAGAAAGTTTGCCAGTTTTAACACAATACAAAGGGAATTTTACTATATAGTTTCAATTGCAACAGAGTTCCATTCCCACTCAAAGTAATTGAGTTTGTTACTGCAAACAAGGCCTCAATATCAGGTTTTACTCTATGCAAGGAAAAATTCATAGTCCCCACATCATATTAAAATCTAACAACTACAGCTGGATTTATATAACATTTTGTAAACTTGATAAAACAAGAAAACAGCTGCATATTTCATTTTTTCCTCTTCTGGTGTACATTCTAATGTTCAAAATGCAATTAAGAGATATGTAATAGGCAAACAATTTAAGTATTCCATCTAACTTACATCCTAGAGAACAGTGTCAACATACTGCCAGTTTAGAAGTCATTTTGCCATAAGCACAATCAGAAAAAAGTATTCAGACTTAAAAAAAAAAAAAGAAAGAAAGAAAATTCAGGCTTTTCCCAAGCCTGCTTTAATTTTGCATTCAGATTTGCATAGTGCCAAAACTCAGCACTGTGAACATATCACTTCTCTGGTTACTTTATTCCAAACCACGAATAGCTCTCCTCTGTACTTCTAGTCAGTTGCAGTAATGAGATTTGGTATCAGAGCCAGTGATAAAAATGTAGCTTTGGGGCTAGTTCAAGCTTTGTTTGTATGTGAAGTGAAGTTTTATATTTAAAAAGCTTTTACAGTTAAAGAAGATTTTTAAATCTATAGTCTATAATGTGTAATAAAAAAATCCTAAAAATCTCTTTTCAAACTAAAGAACATCACATACTATTTCACCTCAACAGATTTTACTCCTCAGGGTAAAACCTCATCTCACATAAGCCTATTCTCCTCAGAGTATGTAAGTACTTCTTAATAAAGCATACTACAAGTAACATTTACTTGTATGTGAAGATACTGACCCTGCTACTCTTATTGTCAGTGATTAACATGCAAGTGTGAGATTATGGAAGCAGCTCCACTCCTTTTAATGGCACAGGAACCTGGGATCCCAGCAACACTGAAACACACAAAAGCTGGAAGGGGCCTCCAAAGAGTATCTGCTTAAACAGAGCCACCTAGACCTAGTGGCCAAGAACCATGTTTGGGTTGCTCTTGAGTATCTCCGATGACTCAACAACCCCTCTGTGCAACTTGTACCAGTGTTCACTCACCCTCATAATGAAAAATGGGTTTTCATGTTCAGATGGAACAGCTGGGCACAGCTCCTGTATCTGCTGCCAGATCACAGAATGGCCTGGGTTGGAAGGGACCTTAGGGATCACTTAGGTCCAACCCCCTTGCCTTGGACAGGGACACCTTCCACTAGACTAGACTGAAAGCCCCACCCAGACTGGCCTTGAACACTTCCAGGGATGGGGCATCCACAGCTGGGCAACCATTTTTCCTAATGTCTAATTTAAACCTACTCTCCAGTTTGAAGCCATTCACTCCTCCTTGTCCTGTTAGTACATGCTCTTGTCTGCCTCCATTTTTCTTGCAGGCTCCCTTCAGGTACTGGAAGGCCACAATTAGGTCACCCCAAAGCCTTCTCTTTTTTCAGGCTAAACAATCCCAGTTGTCTCAGCCTTTCCTCACAGGAGAGGTGCTCCATCCCTCTAATCTTACCCAACTCTTTGTTTGCTACCACTGAGCATGACATTAGATGTCACTGAGCACAGCTTTGGTCAGTTGTCCTGGTTGTCCCTTAACCACTTTCTGCCTTCCTGCAGCCTACTCAGGGCTGAGGCGTTGAGGTAAAAATTAAACCTCGACACCGTACAAGCAGCACGCAGCAAGTCAAAATCCTAGTGTGGTATCAACACTGCTTCAGTCACAATCCAAAGCACAGCCCCATTAAGGTTGCTATATGAAAATTACCTTCATTCCTATCAGACCCTGTAAAATACATCTGGAAAAAGTTAAAAGAAAATATATTAGTGAAGTTTCCTATTATGCACTCTTGAAGCAGATTTAATTAAAGTAACTATATAAATGAAAGGCACAAGAAAGTACCTTGCACTGAAACTAGAAAAAGAAGTACTGCCAATATTCCTGAACAAAAAAAAAAACAAGGTCAGGCAAGGCAAACTGACTTGAATGGAGCACAGTGATAAAAAGTGATAAAATGAAGCCAAGTAATTTCAAAAAGTAACATCTGAATGCAGTCATGCTATCTAAGAACATTTCTTGTACACCTTCAGTGAATGTCATACCCTGTCTTTTTCCTTAGTGTATTATACAGCATTAAGTCAATAAGCCAGACAAAAGACAGTGAACAATATTCTGGGCTTTTTTTTTTAAACTAATCTTTTTTTATACAGTTATTTTAAACAGAATTTAGTGTCTTTAAAGTCAAGTCGATGCAGGTCAATATCCAGTTGTAACAGGTTCCCATTCCTGACCTGTCTGGTATGTGGTCAAAATGAGGACATTGTATTCCTGCTTGAGGAAGCAAAAAGGGGAAAAAATGATCAAGAGTATTGCTGACTCAGAGGAAATAAGTCAACATTTTGAAATGAGAATTTCAAAATTTTGCAAGAGAAGTTCTTTTAAATATTTTATATCAGAATTTGGGAAAGAATTTAGAAAAGATGGAATGTTAAACAAAAAACATCATCAGCTGTAGTCCGAAAGAATGTGGCTCAGCCCATGGAAGGTTGCAAGGGAGTACCTATGTAAGGAAACTTTCAGCTTCTTTTTCTCTACAGAAGACTTGACTGATGACACCACTGCTTTTTATTTTGCTTTTCCTATCTAAAGCTGTAGCCTTTTCTTCCTAAACAACATATATTGTGCCAATCTCCATTTGTAGTGAATGTTCAATAATGAAAACACAGTGATTAAAAAGGATTGTTTTCAGCTGTGTTTTTGTTGTTGCTAGCTTTTTTCCCAGGGTACTGTTAATCAAAGAATCATCAGGGCAATGACCTATGAGCTCTGAAACAGATGGTTCTTCAAAGACATAACCAACACTCGTGCACAATGACCAAAATGCTAGCAACGAACAACTTTTTTAAAAAAATCCCCTATCTTAAATGCTTTGCAAAAATCACAGAAACAGGAACAAATGGGAAAATCATCACGATAAGAAGTTGATATGATCATTGCTATAATTAAGAAACTATGACATCAGTATTATTTAAAAGTAAAGAGCTGCTAGAAAAAAAGATGACAGATTCAAAATGCATGCAAAAATATAGGCAGTCATTCCAATGAATATTTGGAATATCTCCCATTTAGAAAGAAATCTGTTCCACAGACGCAAATAGCCTATTCTTAACATTACAGGGATCAAGTAATTTATTATTTAGTCAGAAAAACTTAAATAGTTATAGCGCTAAAAGCATATCTGAGTAGAAGTGCCAGAAGCAGGAACCTTCTCAACTGCTAGCAGCAGTGAGCTTCTGTGGTTAAGGGATCAGTACTCCAGTCCTTCAATGTGTGAGGAAGGCACTGACAAAGCAGTGAGGTCCTTGCCTGTTTCATTTACCACAAACACAAAAAAACATTGCATCAATCTTGACCTTCTTCAACTACATTAACCATGTTACTTCAGTTCTATGGTTTACTGAAGTCCCACTATGATGCATCTCTGCTCATACAGTTCCTATCACACAATGTCATCACTTCATGAACCCTTAAGGCCTGGGACCTGAATCTCATCTTCCAGATGGTAACTCGTTTCTACTGATTTTAAGAAACATGGGAGAAAAGAATCTCTGGCCTCTTAGAGCTAGAAGTACCTAAAACCGTCACATCCTGAACTATAGTGAGTGTAACAATGTTAGTTGCCTTTTCATAAATGCAACCTCCTCATTCGTTTCTCCAATTTAGACATTCAATCAATCCCTCTGTCCAGTCAAGCACTGCTCAGTCAGTCACTGCTGGCCCAATTCATGAGAAAACTAAAACAAAGAGTTTTTGGAAGGGAACAGGTGAATTAAAGGGCCCCTTGTAAAAGCCCATCACATTCCTGTCTTTGTCAGGAAGAACAAGGAGTTGCAGAAGCCAGCACTAAACCTCTGTGTTTTCATTCCCTTTTGCATAATTACACATTCTGCTCCCAGTTTTTTTCCATATCCAAGTGGCACACAAATAGAAGCAGTTGCCTATTGCTTTGCTGGTCCACCACTGCAGCTCCTTACTGACACAGTGGAACAGCAGGAGACATTCTGATGGCTGTTTGCTAAGTTCCCACAGAGTGACAACAGCAATGCTATCTCTGAAGCTGAACTCACATAGCCTACACTGCTATGTAACCAATGTCCCATTACCCCTTAGCACTCAAGACTTTTCTCCATTGTTTCTGACCAAAAGGAGTTTTTCAATGGAGATACTATTCCACAAGAATAACAATGGAGTGCATCTCATCATTATGGAATATTCTCCCTTCTCTCCTTTCCACCTTCCTCTTCTGACATTTTGAAGGAGTGGCAGAGACCTGAGAGAGTATGCACCATTTGGGGTTTTTTTTGTTTTTTGACAAAAATTCACCTCTCATCACTCCTATAAACCCTACTGCATTATCTCATAGTAAGCTCCCTCTCAAATTTCCTCCATGAGAGGAAGCTCAGTTGCCTCAGTGACAGTACAGATTATTTCATAACGACCATGGTTTTTTTGCATTTTAACTAAGTATGAACACTTCCATGAAATACCTAAATGTGCATCTGTTGTGGGAATAGGAAATTGATAAAGTATTTGGCCACAGAACTAGGCTGGAAGAAAGTACTGAATTAGAGAGTGAGCACATGACCATAGTAGCCCCAAAACACATAAAATTTAAGTAACTGGTGCAAGCCAAAAGGCTGCTTTTAAGTATGAAGCAATTTTCAGATGAAAGGTAGAGGAAAGAGACCTCAGAGATAAGTTTCCAGGGTCTATAATGATAATTTCTCATTGTACAATTCTGTTTGAGAACAGAACAGGATCCTGAGGCAAAACTAGTTTCAAGCTGGTTAAACAGCTGTTTCAATACCAAACCCAGTGCATGGCACATTAGATGATTTGACCAACTGTTTCAAGCACCTCTTGAGCATCTTTCCTGGCCAAAAATCTAACAGATCTCTACTACAAAATTCTGCCTGACCACAAACCACAATCATTTTGCCTTTAGTGTTTCTTTCATGCTATTTCTACTCCCTACTCTCAAGAGAGTAGAGAAAAGAAACAAAGGAAAATAAATAATAAATGTGTTCTGAAACAGACACACAGTGGAGGATATCCACTCTCTCCCTGCACCATTCATCTGGAGAAAATGAGAAATAACTTGGAAGTGCTCAAGAAACATTAACAGCAAGAGTATTAAGTAGTCAGCTGCAGTGACTATATTTAAAGACAGTATTTCATCAGACAAGCCATGCCCTTGCTTCCTCAGTTCAGAATCAAGTCTGGCAATTAAGATCTCAGGATGAGTCTGAATCATTGTTCGTAAGCATGAAAAAGTACCTTTATGAGATAAAAGGCATCAAAACACCTAAGCCAAGACAGTAGTTCTGCTAAAAAGGCTTCAGAGACAGCTGACACAATAGTGATAAAATGTGCTGGTCTACCATGACAGTCAGATCACAGCACAAATTCTGTGCTGACAAAGTTTCTTATTATCCCAGCTAACAATTTTTTTCACCAAATTCTGATATAGATAGAGGTTAGATGGGTTCTAGTAAACCTAATATTGTGGGAATATTAAAATAGCATTCAGAGAGGGAACAAACTGAAATACACCTCATTAAATATGGTGCATAAATGCCTCAGAAAAATTGTCACAAACCAAAATAAAGATACAAAAAACCCCTGGACACTTTATTGCCTTTTCATTTCAGATAAAGTTAGTGAAGACATCTCTAGATCTTTTAATAAGGTAAAACCTAAGAAATCTCATTTCTCTTTTGTGCGTCACAGTAAAGCTATGTAAGAAAGCATGGGTGAAACTTTATGCTAGAAATATCCTTGCAAGTAGGTTTCACTGGGCAAAAAAGAAACTCCACATCTGGTAATATATGTTAGACACATCAAAGTGCATTATTTCAAAACCAGGCTTTCAGCCAGATGGAGATTACAATAGTTTATAATTTACATTATTACAATGCTTAGAAACCACATGCATTAGGCCAGAATACTTTCTCTGTGGAACATCTTACTCTGAATGCAAAAGCCTGGTACTAAGCACAAGCTTGTGGCGCAATGAATTTTAGGATGAGCACAAGTAAATAAATACAACCACCCCAGTAACTAGAGGAGTAACAACCCAACAGGACACAGGCAATCCAGGAAGTTCCTGGAATGCATTGATGACAACATCCTTCTCCAAGTCATACAGGAACCAACTAGGAGAGGTGCTGTGCTGGAACTTGTTTTCATCAACAAAGAAGGACTGGGGTGGGGAATGTGATATTCAAGAGCAGCCTGGGCTGCAGTAGCCACAAAGATTGCAATAGTGCAATGAGGAGAGTGCACAGAAAATTCACTACTCTGGACTTCAGGGATTTGCCTGGTAGAGTACTATGGGATAAAGCAAAGAGAGATCCAAAAAGGCTGGCTGATATTGAAGGATAGCCTCCTCCAAGAGCAGGGGCAGTGTGTCCCAACCAAGATGTTGTCAGGAAAAAAAACTCAAGGAGGCCTGCAGGGATGCACAAGGAGCGCTTGGAAAAAATTTAAACACCAAAATGAAAGCCTACAGAGGGTGGAAGCAAGGACAAGTACCCTGTGAGGCATACAGAGGAACTGTCCCAGCAGCCAGGGAACAAGTTAGGAAAGCTAAAACACTGTTAGAACTAAATCTTGCCAGGGACACCAAGGACTAAAAGAAAAGCTTCTGGTGATAGAAGAAAGACTAGGGAAAATGTGAGTCCTCTCTGGAAGGAAATAACAGATATGGTTACCTGAGACAAAGAAAATAACAGTCACTCAATAACAGTTCTGCATCAGTCTTCACCAGCAAGTGATCCAGCCATGCTACCCAAGTTGCAGAAAGCACTGGCAGAGTGAAGAAAATCCCTCTGCAGAAAAAGATTGTGCTCAAGACCATCTAAGGAACCTGAAGGTGTACAAGTCCTGGGTCCTTATGAGATACTTCTGTGGGTTCTGAGGGAGCTGGCAAATGAATTTGCCAGGGCACTGTCCATCCATTTAAGAAGTTGTGGCAATCTGGTGAAATTCCCACTGACTGGAAAAGGGGAAACAGCCCCCATTTCTAAAAAAAGGATGACCTAGGTACCTGTAGGCTGGTTAGTTTCACCTTGGTACCTGGCAAGATCATGGTGCAGATCCTTCTGGAAACTATGGTGTGGCACAGAAAATCCAAAGATGGCTGGTGACAGCCAGCATGGCTTCACTAAGGGCATATCGTGCCTGACAAATCTGGTGGACTTCTCTGACAGGGTTACAGAATTGGTGGATGAAGAAAGAGAAACTGCAGCTGGCATCATCTACCTGGACTGGTGCAAAGCATTTGACACTGTTCCACATGACATACAAACTGGAGAGATGGATATGACAGATGGACCACATGGTGGATAAAGAATTGGCTGGGTTTGCTGCATACAAGGAGTTGCATTAAGAGCTAAGTCCAAATGGAGAGCACTGACAAGTAGCACTCCTCAGAAGTTGGTATTGTGACTGGTACTGTTTAACATCTATGACAAAGACAGGGACAGTGGGACTGACTGAGCCCAGAGGAGGCCACAAAGATGCCCAGAGGAATGGAGCACCTTTCCTAGGAGGACATGCCGAGAGAGATGGGGTTATTCAGAAAGGAGAAGAGAAGGCTCTGGGAAGATGTTAGAGCAGCCCTCAAGCACCTAAAGGAGGCTGCACAAGAGTTTCCAAATGGCATGTAGTGATAGGACAAGAGGAATGGCTTTAATGAAACTGGGCAGTTTTATAATAGATTAGATACATGGAAGAAATGCACAAACCCTCCATGGCAGGAAGGTTGCAATTAGATGTCTTTAAGGTCTCTTCCAACCCAAACCACTCTGAAATACACAGTATCTTTTTCTCTGCTGAATGAGCACACAGGGACTTTGGGGTTCTATCAAAACTCTCATATCCACAGATCTAACTCCCTTAACTGAATAAAAATCCCTTCTTTTCATAGTGGCAGTCATAAAAAGAAAAAGTAGGCAGAGGAAGGTAGGTTTACAAATTTATCTTTAAATACTGCAAAATGGAAACTGTAACATTTACTGAGACTTTGTTCTTGATACTATATTGAACTCATATACTATATGCTTCACCTGAGGACTAAAATTCTTTAAAAATATCAGCTTACCTTTGTGACAGCTTTGGAAGAAAAAGTAATTTCATCAATGAAAGTAACAATGTCATCTGGATCAAGTCTATCAAAGTATTTTGAACACATATCATATGCATGTAGCCATTCATCCATGGTTTCTGGTATTTTTTTAATGAGATGGTGATCACCATTCCAGAAAAGTTTTTGTAACCACACAGTATAAACAGAGCTTTGTGATAGCATGCTGCCATCTTTTTTAGGAATTTTGGGAGCCAGTTTGGAAATAGATAAGATATTTTGACTTGTAAGGGTGGGCTCCAGTGTTTCCAGAGGGTTTTCATTTTCATCTGTTAGTTTTTTGTAATTAAGACCTAGTGACAGAAGGAGAAAGAGGTAAAAGTTATTCATAATTAAATAATCTAACACTCCACAATTACATGTAAAATAATGAATACACTAACATCTGCATATGTAAAAAAGACTCTAGCCCATACCCTCTTACAAACATACGTACTGACAGATGTAGATTTTCTGATATCCCAGAGCAAGTGTAATTTCTCAGTCCATGATACAGATTTTAACATTTTATATTGCTCCAACAAGGGGAAATGGGTTCAAACTGAAAGGGGGTAGATTTAGACTAGATACATGGAAGAAATCTTTCACTGTGAGGGTGATGAGGCACTGGCACAGACTTCCCAGAGAAGTTGTGGATGCTCCATTGCTGAAAGTCAAGGCCAGGTTGGGTGAGGTTCTAAGCAACCTGGTCTAGTGGAAGGTGTCCCTGGCCATGGCAGGGGGTTTGGAACTGGCTGATCTCTCTGATCCTTTCCAAACCTCAATCAGTCTGTGATTCTATGATGCAACCCAAAAAAAGCAGATTCTCAAAGAACCAAGAACATATATGTAGTATACAGAATCATGCTAGAACTTAAATGTAAACCCTAGGAAACCTCATGGAAGCCAAGGCATAAGTTTTCATTACTTTAAACTATGTATTCTGATCATGTAATAACTGGCCCTTACCACTTAGCAATAGTTGCAAGGCACTAACCATAAGGAAACTAAATAAGGTCAGCTAGAGATAGGACATGCTGATCCATTTACATCAATATTTCTATAACCAAAACTCATGTTATTACTCTGCTTCCTAGAGGAAGAACCTCCTTACAAATTAATTTACCAACAACAGAAATATTTCTAGCAATGACACTATTATATTTTCCTTGTATATAATTTCCAAGATAACTGATTTCTATTGTCATGTTCTTGTTCATATACTTTGGGCCTGCAACCTCTGTACTCAGCTGTTGCTTCTTAACTCCTATCTCTAAACTATGCTGAACACTGAGAATTTTGACTGAGGGTATAATACAAGATTTAATTTTTTACCACACAAACTGACTAATTTATGTCTGATATATGGTCCTTGGACATCTTTGTTTTGTCTTTTTTTTTAATAGCTTTGAAGGTGAACAGTAACTGCTTGGCAGAATTTTCTTGGGCAAGCATCACAAAGCTTGAGGCATCACAGGACTTGAGTGCTGAATTATGTCAATAAGAACTGAAGGTTATCCCTTCTCTCCAAAAGAAGTTACTGACTTTTTTCTTCCTGCAATACATGAATTCATATGCACCATCTTTTCAAACTCTGCAGCACAGTTAGTGTCCAATACACATTAGGTTCCAATATTGCTCAATTAATTCATCCTCACAGGAGGTAATGACATACAGCGTGTATTTTTCATTCTGAAACTGGATTTGGAGTTGTGTAATGAAAATTCAACAGTACCCAACTAACAAGCAAATTGAAAGCAGTAGTCAAAACTTCAGAGTCCTTAGCAGTAGTGTATTTTACAGTAATTTTCTCAAAATGTAGGGCTACAGACACTACTGTAATTCTGGGGAAGCAGAAGGCAACATCAAGTGGAAAATATAACAAAAAATTATCCTCTTTCAGATGAACAAACACAAAATGCACAAAGTCCCAAATATGTTCTGTAATTCAGACTCTTGAAAGGTAAACTTTCTTAAGTCCTTTGAGAATATTCATATTAAACTTGTAGTGTTAGAAATGATACTCTAGGAACTTGCTATTTTTCATTTAAAATTTCATTATGAAATATCACCAATAATTCTAACTTGCATTACTAACAGAAACCTGTTCTTAACTAGTTTTTTCTTGCTGTGATCAAATAAATTTCCAGTAAAACAAAGAGAAGAAACTTATGGCTATATTAATTTTATTCATCTCCTTTGCACACAGAAAAAAGCTATTACCTTGAAAACAAACTAGCTAAGTATAATCATGCCAATACTTACATGACAAAAAAATAAATACAGTTTTAAAGAAAACAAAAAGGTACTCTCCTACCTGGTGCAACTGCTTTGAATTTTTTCAGGAGTCGGATGTGAGTTTCAGGTTTAAGAGTGTGGTTCACGACTTCTGAGCAGCCACAGTTTTCCAGGAGAGTAAAATAGTAAAGCAACCGCTGGTGATCTTGGCCTTCAATACTTGGGTAAACATATTTAGCCATGTGTTCATGAAAGGTTTCAGGACTAGTTTTCAAAACCTCAAACAGACCAAGACTTTGTGCTCTTTCTTCAATTTCCAGTGTAGATAACCTGTATTTAGAAATAATTTTTGCTTAAAGGCCTGGATGTGCCATGAAAGACTCATACAACTGTACACCTGGGAGACAGGACAATCCTTTCCTCTCTTTAGGGTCCCACAAACATTTAGATAACTGTACACTCTATAAGCAAAAGCTAAGCAACTCTTTTATTTCCCAATCCAGTTACCTGTTAGCTTGGACATGAAGATTAAGGATTATGAATACTGAAGTGGAATTCAAAGCAGAATTTCATATCTGTGGGTATAGCTATATCTAAAAGGAAAAATACATCCAGTGCAAAGCAAGACTTCAATAAACAAAAGGACCAACCACTTGTGGCTGAATCCTGCTCGAAGATCCTACTGCCCAGTTAGAAGCTTTCCCAATCCATTTAATTCTGTTTCTGTAGCTGATGAGTACCTGTGCACACCTTGAGAGATATTATCACTGAAAATTGGTTCTTGCCCAGCAATTAATCTATTTGGCACTAATATTCACATTTAGGAAAGTTTACCAAGACTTTGACAGTTTAACAAGTTGTTTCTCAAACTGTCATCCATGAAAGCTTATGAAAATATCAGTAAGCCTTGGGTTGACCTCAGTCAGTCTCACTGCTTCAGGAAATTCTTTCCTGAATCTTTTGAAAAGAATACATTAGCTCTTTCACAGCATGAATTCAGACACCTCCAGCTGACTACAGAAAAGATAATCACTCCTTTTTCCCTTAGCTGGGAGAAAAATGAGTACATATCATCTTAAGTTTATATCTTTTTCAACTGAAAGTTTTACCTAAATCTGAGGAAGGAAGTAACCTACAGATGATTCCTACCTCAAGTCCCCCCCAGAGCTAAACCATATGGCACATTAGATAGTACATTTCATTTGGAAATCTGATGTCTTCTAATACTATTTGATTCTCCTTTACCTTTAAAACTGATTAAATTAGAATTTCATCATTTCCCTGATTAAATTAGAATTTCATCATTTCCCTCCCCAAATATATATGCTGTTAGTGTTTCTCTTTAACATCCAAGTAAAATGTCTCAGTTTATTTTTTAAGATTATTTTGTTACAGCAAATACCACAAACACAACCTTAATTATATTAAATTATATTATTAAATTGTATGAACAAGATTGGCAGATGTTTGCAGTGTGTTTTTAAGGCAGGGCTGATTGTGGATAGGAAGAGTTTATAGTGTTCCAGTTGTTCCAGAACAAAAGGTTCTGTGATAGACAAACAAAATTTCATGTTGCTGAAATAATAAGTTGCATTTTATAGAGTTTTGATAATCAAATATGATCTGATTTCTCAAAAGAAGTAACTAAATTTCCACTTGATTTTTATAAAATGCCATTCTGAACAATTTTCAGACTCATATTCCACAAAAAAAGTCATAATTCTTTGTCATCAGTAATCAAAGAAATGGTTAATACAAACTATGTTAATACAAACTGAAGCTCTTCTGAGCTTCTCCCTATGTAATGTGGCTTATAGAAATACTGCATATTTGGTTAAAGAGATTAAGTCTTAGAATAAACTTCATTTCAGTTCAGAACGAATGCATAATGAAACATGTATTATTAATACCATAATCCCAAGACTCAAATATACTGTAATGATCATTTGCTGTCAATCATTTTTAAAATGAGATTACAATACAATGAAAACATGCTCAGCAGCATAATATGCTATTATACATCAACTTTTAAGACTTCTTTTGATTTCCACTAGGGAAAATATGGTTACTCTGTACTTCTGTGATTTCAGAATTCTATGAATACTAACACAAGGAGGACAAGAACAAAGAAAACGATTGAAAACTGTTTCAAAACACCTTAGATAATATTCTAGTCACAGAGAAGACAGCTGACTCTTTCACCCCAATGCTGCCACATTTATATCCTGACTGTTTTGTTTAAAGCAGTAAATAATTTAGCAGCATCAAAATTTAGAGGGTATGACTTCTGTTTTCTGGAGGAAGTGAAGAAAGTCTCAGAACATTACTTCATCTTCTCCAGACAATTCACCAGGCTTTGTTTTTTATCCCTCATATTTTATACAATGTTTTAATGCTTTTTAATTAATAGTTAATGTTAAGAGAGGTATAAACACTGCTGCAAGCTAAAGGTGGTTTAAGAATTTAACACTTGAAACAAACCAAATTAGTTTGATCATGTCTGTCAGAACAGTAGATAAGAGCTGCTGCATTACACAGGGAGATCTACATCACTGTCATCTGCACGTGCTATTCAGGCAAGTAGCTTGGTCTTCCATCAAATAGGCTTATTCCTCTTTCAGTAGGAAAAAATTGTCTGACACGATGTAAGAAGTTAAAACAAATTAACTAAAAAATAAAGGCCCTGAAGCCACTTTGGAATGGAGACTATCAGCACCCCTCCCCCTATGCCACAGCAGCTCCAGGTTTGGTTGGCTATAATCTTGTAGGCTAGAACAGTTTCAGTAAAACATAGTTAATAGAAGGAGTGTGCTTCTATCAAAAATTGAAACTGAAATGAAGAGATGTGCGATATGAATAGGGAGCTCAAATATATTTATTTCCTCTATTATGTAGAATAGATATCAATAAAGAGCAAAAAGATTGAGAAACCATCAGATTTCAGGATATATTACAGGGACTGTAAGAGTAACTACAGGATAAGTTGGTACTGGAAGAGAGAACTAAACATTCAAAGTTGTGGAAATCTGAACACTGAAACAAAAGTCCTGGAATACTCTGAAGAACAGTAAGACGTTTATGGACTTTTAATCTTGGCTGCAACACCAGTTTTCAAGGCTGATTGCAGAAGCATTACATGGAAAAGACAAAAATTCCCCTACTATCCCAACACAAGACAAATGAACACACAACCCAAACTCCACCCGCAATATAATGCAATTCTGTCATAAATTACCATTTATTTCTGTGTAACAGAATTGTATGTGCATTTGCAGAGGAGAAAACTTACCCACTGTCAGTGAATAAAAATTCCAGATGGGTCATGTAAACTTCCCAAAGTGGAACACTGTATCGCTGAGCCAAAGAAATAGCAATTTTATAGACATTTTCTTCAAGTGTCCTGGTAGAGGACAGACATGAGAGAAAATAAGGAAAAGTTATGTTAAGCTCTATGAGACATAACATGAAAAAAACCCCTTACATTAGAAAACTAATTATTTGTTTTTATTATTATTTTTTCATAAAAAAAGAACACAGCAAAAATTTTAAAATAAAAGTACATTAAGTGTATCTTCCTATATTTACTTATACTTGGTGCTCCATTTGGGAAAAAAAAAATACAAGAAAATAACTACAGAGTTATTTCCAAGATAGGAACCTACTCCACAAACACTGGTTCTCAATGGCAACTTCTACTCAACCCTGTGCAAAAATCTCAGCTTTCATTTAATTTAAAGTGATGAAGTATGTAATTGACACTGTTAGCATTTATTTGATTTAGTTGCAACACCTACATTGTTTTAGCACAACTGGTATATAAATTCTCAAAAGCTCTTCCTAGTAGTTCACAGACAGAAACACTCCCAGTATTTGTACACTAAAAGGTGTGTAGATGTCCAGCTCATTCTGTCCTAAGATATTTCAAACTGCTTTTCTGTTAGTGCCTAATCTGTTTGACACAACAATAGATGAAGAATATGGTAAAATAAGAAAGACTATAGTTAATGTCATACTAATCTTTACTAATCCAGTCTAATATGGTTCAAATAGAGACAGCTGGTTCCTAGGCTGGCATAGAAGCAATACTATTAAGGCAAATGCTGGGATTTTTAGTTTTACTTTGCTTGGGTTGCATCTTTTCTATTCAGGATAATTCCAAACAAAACACAATCTAAGTGTAATTATTTCCTAACAGGCCTGTCATGAACAAGTTTTTTCAAATGTATTTAATGTGAATACTTGAATGGATCTGCCTGAGCAGGGAGGTTGGGCAAGATGACCTCCAGAGGCCCCTTCCAAGCTCAGCCATTCTATGATTGAAAGAGGAAGATGGTATGAATGCTTTAGTTGCAAAATAATCCAGTCAATCATACAAAAAAGGAGTGGCTCCTGGAACCAGTGGGATCCACTCCTCCTGGAATGGAGCTACACCACAGTCCTCCCTTCCTGTCTAAGAGTGGCATGCAGCAGCAGTCTAAGGCAATGGTGGTTTAAGGAAATGATACCATATAAATGAAGAACAGTACAATCAATTTATTCATTGTCAAGACAACAACAAAAACAAGCAGCTGTTGCACAATGAAAAGCTGAAAAAAAGTCCATTACCTTGCAAAGAATCTTTTAACTTACTTTTACACACCCCTTTTCTTGCCCAGCCCTGACTGCATGTCAGTGTGAGCCCAAAGGAATCCTCACTGAAGGCTCCAGCAGAGGCACACTTTGAATGGATTTTGGTGTTGTTTCACCAAGACTGGTGCAAACCCAAAAAACAACAGCCCCCAAAGATATATACCAAATACAGAAGGTAAGAACAGACAACTACTGGTTAGGTAGTTACAGCAAATTGCTCCTTCTAGTACAAAGCTGTTTTATAAATAAGATGCAATCTTTTCCAGGTGTTGTTCCTTCAAACAGCACTTCATAAAAGATTAAAAAACATGAGGCACTTAATTAGAACATAAGAACAAATATACTACACAACTACATTGAATTTGTGCATCTTTTTCATTAGAAAATGCAGATTAAGACTCCACTGAGAAGATTAAAGCAAGAAATTGAAAGCTGAACAAGTAATTAACTGAATCTTTGCAACTGCCCAATATGGAAGTGCCACTCTCATTCACACACTTCCTCTAACCCTTTCATATTGTGTTTTTACCTCTACTTATTGTAAGGAACATTCTCTTCATACTTACTTTATTTCACAAGAGACAGTATCTATGTACTCTTGGGTGACAATGTAACTAACCCTGCTGTAATCAAAGTAAGTATCTGTAGTAACAGAAGACTGCTTGTATTGAAGTTGCTGTAGGTAGTCATCAAGATGTAACCTAGTGACACACTAGATATATGTGCTTATTAACAATATACATGAAGCAGGTAATTCTAACGGAAACATTAACAGATGATTACAAGCCATTTTTATGAATTCAGTGACAAAATCTGTGCAGGTGCAGATTTCACAGATGTAAAGCATCAGCTTAGTGTTCAAAAACTGACTTTATACAACTACTCCAGTATAGCAATTCCATTTAGTAGCAAATTTCTATTGGAACTGTAGCTATGAGTAGCTACACATGTGGAAAACTGAAAATATTTAAATATGCTCTTCAAAAGCTTTATGCAAACATCAGTTTAAAATCTGAGATTATATTTAAAGCTTCTTATGGCAGAGAACTCTTCCTTTGACATCTGTCAACTATTCAGCTGTGACTGTCCCTAAAACATAAGTCACAACTTGCTCACAGCTTGAAGTACCTGCATGCAGATATTAATTAGAGTGGCTTTTTTAAAATGAAAAGTACTATCCTATATCTTTCAATTTTTCTCTTCTGGGTTTCTGAAAGGTGAGATAAAAGCACACTAAATATCAGAATATATGGAGTGAAGTACTTCCAAATGACTACAAGAAAGAAAATATAGTGATATACAGCAGTTCTAACTAAATTATTAAGAATAACATAGAGTTTAATAACTTTTTTTTTTTTTTTTTTAAACTATAGTTCATTCCAAACTTTGATGCATGGGCATACCCTAATAGATTGCTAGGACAGATTTACAGGAGATGAAAGAGAAACCTTCACCTATGCTCTGCTTTTATTAATCCCTTATTAACTTTAATATTAGCAGTTAGTAAATGAAGAGTTATAGATTCAATTATAAATACATTTATTTGAGCAACATTTCATTTAAGTAGAGCAGTTACATAGAAAAAGCTCCAACTGTAGTAGCATTACAGTGTAAATCTCCAAAACAAGTAAATTAGCTCTCTAAAGGTCAGCAGTACTTTCAATTTACTCTCCTAATTTAAAGCTTAAAGCTATTCCATTCTAAAATAGAGAAAGCAAACCTGAGAGACATTACTTACTCTGCCAATCCTAGTATTGTTTCTCTCTTGTACTGTGCATCTGCTGTAAATCTCTGCACATCCACTCCTTTACCAAGTCCTTGCAGTGTCTGAGCTTGAGTGAAATCAAGCAGTCTTTCATTGTAGTAATGCAGCAGATTTATCAAAGTGGTGATTTCTTCAGGCCAGTCTGCATGGGCATACTGAGTAACATGCTTTGTGACCATCTGAATCAGCTCTTTTGGATCAGCCTGCAAAAATAATTGACAACAAACTAAAAAAAACAAATCCCTGTTAATGCTGAACAAAAAATTATCAATATATAACTGATCCCTGTGTTTGGAACTAGGAGATTTGTTTCCATTTCTGAGAAATTTTAAGTAAATAGAATTTAAAATTTTCTGTAAGGCCTATTTGCTCTGATATTATCTCTATGGAATGTTTTAGACTACTCCATATGATACAAGTATTAAAAAATACAACCAAACTTACCTTACCAAATTAATAGTAAAAAGTGTTTCACTGTGACTGAATTTATTTATTTTTGAATTCCTCTTTTTCTTTACACTGAACTAGTCAACTGATTGGTCAAACACTGAAGTCTAAGAAAAGTTACTGAATTTCTGATACACTTCTATTACACAGAACTGAAAAGAGGAATAGCTATTAAGGGCTGAGAACTTCTGAAGAGGTACTGCAGGATCCACAAATTGCATGAGGCATTGCCTACACCTTGAAGCTTCGAAGAATTAAATAACGCTCATCTATGGACTACAGCAACCTTAGTTTTCAAACTACATTAATCACAAATAAGACTTACTTTTCTGTGTTCGAAATTACACACCGAGTGTATCAATTATAAACAATTAACTTCTGTAGTCAAAAACCCTTCTGTAGTCAAAAGCTACAATTTAGAACACAAAGCATGAAAAATGAATGCATGTACTGTGGAGTGTTCCAAATTATTTTGAGATCTGGACAGTGGCTATGCCTAGGCACATCCACTTGAACAGAGCTCTGTGCAATACGTAAACTCCTGGCTTACTCAATACTTTGATTTCTCTCTTCCATGAAAAATGAGGGCACCAGCAGCTCAGTTCCAAACAGAAGGACTGTGACTTCTGTGTGGCATCCACTGAGGAAAGAATACTTCCAAAAGAACCACCAAAAAATACCTTGGCATTCCAGTGTAGTTGAAATATTTCCTAAGAGAAACAGCTGTTGTAACTGCTGTGTTCTCAGAAATGCTGAGTGTACCAGAGCAATATACTTTGGTTGTCTACTACAGGATTATTCTGCTGCATTAGAAGATAAACTTGTAAAGATTGACTAGAGCACACAGCTGGATAAAACATGCACCAAGAGTTTAAACCTTGAGGCGTGCTTTATTTTTTCCGTGACTTGCTGGTCATTCTAAATTGATTTTTTTTCAACTCTTAATTGACAGGCTGCTCACCAAGTCACATTAAATGCTACAGGGCATCCTTTTTCCACTCCACAATACACTTCTGAAGCCCTCCAAACACTAAAAACTCATTGGTTTTATAAACAACAGCAGTACTTCTTTCAAGGCTGCTTAGGAGATTGGTACTAGAATAATAAAACCTCACAAAAAGAGACAGGCAAGCAGAGCAGTGCCTCTACAACACAATTATATCAGCTGGAAACCCATCCACAGCTTATTATGTACCCTGGTATCTCATTCTATGTGATACACTAGAAAACAGAGCATGGAGACAGGGGAAGTCAGAGCAAGAGAAGGAAACGTTTAACATAACTGCCTAAAACCTCCAGTCCACTGAGAAAGGCAGGTTCCTTTGACAACCTATAGGAGTAAATTTGCTCTCTTTTGTTAGATTTCCCCTCTCTCCATTAAGGCCCCATTTGTTATATTTCTGTAAAAGCACCTGTGTGTAAGCTTCCATGCTACCTGTTTATGGTCCCAAGGACTTTATTTGGAAATAATGTCTTGGGGTCTATTGGTCTTACCAGTTTCAAGTTTAGAATAAAAGAATCCAATGCTATGTGAATACCCATGGATATATGCCCACACATATAAACAGCAAAATAAAATGCAAACTCTTCAATCTAGAAGATAAAAATTAGACATTTAAATTAAGAAAATGCAACTGAAGTTTTTTTTTTACTGAAAGTAGTTGCCAGAGATTGTCTTATTTTCTTCACCACCAGAAATCTTTCAATCAAGTGATATCCTCTTACCTCTTAAAAAACCTACAGCCCAAACTATTGCAGCATATGAATCCAAAATTAGTTTAGAGAACTCCTGACAGTCTTCTGTTTGGTATCAAGATGCAGAGAACTTGTATTTCATCACTTTAAGTATTAATTTTTTTACATCTCTACATTTTATTAATACATACCTTTTAGAAGAAAAACAAAATTATTTCTATATCCATTAGATACCTCATCAATTAGACATGCTTGTTCTAATGAACAGTGAGAGAAGTCACTACAGCTGTATCATCAGTTTTCAAAAAATGTTTTAACAAATTTAAACTGAAAAAACCGTAACTAGCTAGTAACAGTACCTGGCCATGAAGAAAATCAGCAAAATCTGAATCTTACTGCAGTATTCATGGAATTTATAAATTCTTGGACTTTCTTTAAATTGTATCAGACAGCAATTTGTGTGAATACAAATTAATTTTGACAAGTAAGACCAATAAGATGCCATATTCAACTTGTTCCCTTTCTAACATCACCTGTCAAAAACCATACCAACACCCCCCAACAGCTGCTACACAATTCTCTGTTGGTTTTTGAGTCCTTTGGCCAGTTAAAAATTGTTCTTAGGAATCCAACTCCCCAATTTACCAGATTATCTTCTCCAGTACTTCTAGAGAGATGTTTGAAAAAGATCTTTCTCTCTGGTAATCATGCAGGAAGGTTATTTTACGTGTATACACTGTTAACATATGGTAAGTTTCCAGAGAAGCCACCAGAGCTGACCCAAATATATTACACCCTTAACTCAGAAGCCTCAGCATTGCCAGGGGAAATCCCTCAGGAACGCCCTGCCAATCCATTTTACTTGGGCGAACATTGTATTTGTGTGGACACAGGCCTTACTCAGGAATTAAGAAAAAAAAAAAAAATGGAGGGAAAAGAAAAAGCACACATCACTTTAGCATAACATTAATTTAATTTCATGCTATTAGACGTGATTTACTCAGCACAGGTCAGGTTTCCACCCCTGTTGCCCCACTAGTCATTACCAGTAAGCCCCAGCAGGAATTCAGGGTCCATCTGAATAAATGTTTTAAAGCAGTTCTTTTTTGACCACCCTCTGGAAGTGACATCGGTGAAGCCCTTCAATGTATGTGCCACTGTAATAGTATAAAGGCAACACTGGTTTTAAGAGTAAATAGGAGATTTTGATTTTGGAATGCCTTCATTCTTATGCCTGAATTAATCTTCAATTTTTGGGGCTTTTTTCCTGGCAAGCTTTTGGCTTTTGGCTATGTCTTTTTCCTCTTCCAATCTATTTAAGACTTAATTCTGTCATTACATAGTCTACACGTCAGAAACAAATAAACAAAACAAAAAAATGTGTGAGCTGTAATGCTGTTCCTCTCCTGCTCAGGAAGTAGCAATAATTTTACAACTATGGCAATACTAATAAGAAAAGAGTAATAAAATAAAAAAAATATAAAATAAAACATTCTACTGTGAATACTTTATCACTGATGTAGTATTAGATCACTGTAAGGCTGTTTGGCTTGCTTACTTCTTTTAAGACCAAGAATCCATCCAATTGTTCTTAAAAACATATTATTCTTTTGATTCTGTTTTTAATGTAAATAATCTACAGCCTGCAATACAGAAATAAGCAGAAAAACTGAGTAGAAAAACTGCTTCGATCAGCAGAGGCCAATCTGTTCACAATCAGCTCAAAGACAAAACTGACACTGGACCTTTCTGGATTGAGGTTGCGAAGCACTTCCATCACATTTTGGACTGCAGTCTTTTGGCAATGGTCAAAAGCTGCCACTGTGGTCAGCCACAGAAATCCAAAGGGGGAGGAAGAGGACATGTTCCCTTGTGCCCAGATCCCTGTAACATCTCGTTTGTTTTACACCATTTTAAGCAATCCTAAAAAAGAAATCATGCTCCAGAGAGTCACATACACCAAGCAAAATCCTCATGGTTAGCAAAACAAGGAGATGACAGCACATGAGAAAGGGTGACCAGGGAGCAGGGTGTAACATTCCTGCTGCAGACACACTTGTACTTTGCCCATTTCCCTGCCTCTGCAGTTGCTGCCCATTACCAGTGCAGCTAGGAAACAAACCTCACCTCTAAAACACATTTATAATTCAGAACTGAGAGCTGTAGCAACTTGTAGCAACTGCCACAGTCCCTGCTGCAAGAGATTCAATGTGCTACAAATTTGATGGAAGGGAAGGCAAGAAAAAAAGAATGAAGCAGATAAAACAATAATTTTCCTCACATACTGAAGCAGGATAAAAGATTTACAGGAATGAAACAGCTCACTCAGGAACTAAAATCCTGAATGTGCCTGTTCACTCAGGAAATATACTCCATCTCTCCACAGGACAGCTTCTTTCATTAATTAAATTAATGACACTTGTCTTCAACTTAGAAGTTGAAGTTGCTACAATGTGAATCAAGAGTACTTTAACTTAGATACCCCATCACATGAATTTAGGGTGGCCAACCTTCTGTATCACAGCTGTCTCACATCTGATCTGCCCAAAGCAAAACATAAAATGTATGGCTAAAATGGAAGACCAGAACATCTCAGAAATAAACCTTTACTGTTACATCACTCAACTGCGAGGACATCTCAACACTATTGCGCTTCCACTGCTACAGCTACATGTATTGTGTGGCAACAGTTTTGTTCAGGATCAGCTTTCACAACCGTTTTTCAAATGGGTATAGGAAGCAGCAGAGCTCATCATTCACCAGTGAAACCACACCAGGTCAATAGCTACAAGATGCATCAAGTTGTACAAACTTATTTAGAAAATGAAGTAGACAATCAAAGGTGACTAACAGCTTTTTGAAGCCGTCTTACCCTAGCCAAGTGGCTTTATATTCTCTTTTACATTCCTTTTCCAAACTGCTGTACCTGTTTTCTCCAGCCAGTGAGCAACACGGATTTTGCAGGCAGCCTGCTTGAAATCTGCTCATCATCTATTATTAAACCTATAAGACTTACATAATTAGCCATTAAAAATATTCTATTTTAGATTTAAAATCTTAA